CAGGCTTCCCTGGGGCCCAGCCAGGAGCCCAGGCAGGCTTCCCTGGGGCCCAGGCAGGCTTCCCTGGGGCCCAGCCAGGCTTCCCTGGGGCCCAGCCAGGAGCCCAGCCAGGCTTCCCCGGGGCCCAGCCAGGGTTCCCAGGGGCACAGGCAGGCTCCGCCGGGGCCCAGGCAGGTGCTCCAGGAATCCAGCCGAGCTTCCCTGGCACCTGGCCCAGTTCCCCAGCGACCCAGGTGGGGCTTCCTGGAGTCTGGCCTGGAGCTCCAGGGACCCAGGCAGGCTACCTTGGGACCCCAGCAGACACTTCAGCATTCCAGCCCACATCACCTACAGCAGGTCCCCCAGCTCTAGCAGCCCAGCTCGCAATTCCACCTGGACCTTACTCTGCCGTTACATCCCCGGCGTCACCTTTACAAGAGAAGGACAAACGTCTAACCTCATCCACGCCGCGAGAGTCCTCCGGGTCCAGCAGCGCCTCCAGCCGCTACTCGGATACTGTGGAAGCGCTGCGCCAGATCGGGCAGCTGACCGACCTCTGCACCACCTTGCAGGAGCAGATAAACCACCTGGAGCAATTCAAGTGTAGCCACGCCGACCTCGACAAGCTGCGACAATTCCTCTCGGATGCAGGTAGGGGCTTCCCCATCAGCCAGTGTCTTCATCACGTCCTTCTGGGAGGGGGCGATGCAGGCGGTTTCCTGGGCAAACACTCCTCGGGTATGGCTTCCCAGAGTGGTGCTGACTGTAGCCTTCTGCTGGATCCACAGGGGTGTCTGGGTGAGCAGTGGTGCTCTTGGCTGGGGCCTGGATCCCTTCCCATGGTTCCTTAGTGACTGGCACACTGCTCATACCTTTGGGCTGACTCCCCAGTGAGACGCGCTTGTTGGAATGGGTGCAGCTTACTTTGACCGGGCTGTCATTTGAGGGCATAAATATCCCGAGTGGTACACTTAACGGTCATAAATATTCCGCCTTGGGACTCTTGCCCTGACTTTGACGGGGGTCTAGGGTTCGCGCCAAGGTACCATTTTGAAAAGGGGCCTTTTATCGCATTTGGATCATTTTCTGGTTCACTTCAAAGTATCTTGTTGCATTTCCATCCCCCATCCTGAAACGATACAAAATATCCCAGTGGGGGGCACTGATGGGGGCTGTGGGGCTAAATGGGGGCGCAGGGAGTGCAATTCCATTCTTAGGGAAGCTTCATATCTCTGCTTGTGTTGGTTTGGAGGCGATAGCTGGTAATCTGCTTTCAGGGTCTGCCTCTGAGCTAAGCCATAGACTTATTAAAGGGGTCTTCTGTATCCTAGTAAAGAGGAAAGGGATAGAAGCAGATAAAGTAGGAACTGAAGAGAAACAATCAAACAAAAGAATCCAATTCAATTACATCACACAAAGGCAGACCGCTGAATACGGACACATTTTATAAGTGCTTGTGCACAAATGCTAGAAGTCGAAATACTGAGGTGGGTGAACTTGAGTGCCTGGTATTAAATGAGGATATTGACATAACCAGCATCACAGAAATGTGGTGAAAAGATTATAATCAATGGGACACAGTAGTACTAGGGTACAAAATACATAGGAATGACAGAGTAAGTCATGATGGTGCGGGAGTGGCACTATATGTGAAAGAAAGCAGAGTCAAATATACTAACATTTTAAATGCTTAAACTGTACCATAGAGACTCTATGGACAAAAATTCCATGCGTGAATAGTAAGAGTATAGCCATAGGAATATGCTACCAACCACCTGACCATGATGGTGATGGTGATGGTGATTGTGAAATGCTACAAAAACAGAAAACCCAGTAATAATGAGGATGTCCCTCATATTTACGGGGAACGTGTCACCTAAGGATGGAATGCAGAGATAAAATTACTAGACACCATTAATAATTACTTCTTGGAGCAGCTAGTCCTGGAACCCACAAAGGGAGAGGCAATTCTTGATTTAATCCTAAATGGAACGCAGGATCTGGTACAAGATGTGAATATAATTGAACTGCTTGGTAATGCCATAATGTGATTACATTTAATGTTCCTACAGGGGGGGAGTTCCAAGGAAACCCACCACAGTAGCATTTAGCTTCAAAAAGGGGAACTACACAAAAATAAGGAAAATAGTTAAATGGAAATTAAATTAAAAGGAACAGCCACAAGAGTGAAATGCCTGCAAGCTGCATGGAAACTATTTAAAAACACCATAAAGGCTCAAATTAAACGTATATACTCCAAATAAAAAAACAACAACAGTGCAAGGACCAAAAAAAAATGCCACCATGGTTAAACAACAGAGTAAAAGAGGCAGTTAGAGGCAAAAATACATCCTCTAAAAATTGGAAGTCAAATCATACTGAGGAAAATAGAAGAGAGCAAAAACTCTGGCAAGTCAAGCAAGTGTAAAAGTATAATTAGACAAGCCAAAAAAGAATTTGAAGAGCAACTAGCAAGACACAAAAACTAGCAGCAAGTTTTTAAGTATATCAGAAGCAGGAAGCCTGCCAAACAATCAGTGCTGCCACTGGGTGATAGAGGTGCTAAAGGAGCACTCAGAGAAGACAAGGTCGTTGCAGAGAAGCTAAATTAGTTCTTTGCATCGGTCTTCACTGCAGAGAGTGTGAGGGAGATTGGTTAAGGTATGGGATTCTCTTTAAGGTGATAGATCTGAGGAACTGTCCCAGACTTAGGTGACAATAAGGAGGTTTTGGAACAAATTGATAAATTAAACAGAAATAAGTCACCAAGACCAGATGGTATTCACCCAAGAGTTCTGCAGGGACTCAGATTTGAAATTGCAGAACTATTAACTGTGGCATGTGACCTATCGCTTAAATCTCTGTATCAGATGACTAGAGGATAGCTAATGTGACACTGATTTTTAAAAAAGGTTCCAGAGGTGATCCTGGCAATTATAGGCTGGTAAGCCTAACTTCAGTACCAGCAAATTGCTGAAACTATAGTAAAGAACAGAATTATCAGACACAGAAATGAACACAATATGTTGGGGAAGAGTCAAAGTGACTTTTGTAAAGGGAAATCATGCCTCCCCAATCGATCAGAATTTTTTGAGGGAGTCAATAAGCATGACAAGTATCAGGGGGTAGCCGTGTTAGTCTGTATCTACAAAAACAACAAGGAGTCTGGTGGCACCTTAAAGACTAACAGATTTATTTATAAGCATGACAGTGGATATAGTGTACGTGCACGTTCAGAAAGCCTTTGGCAAAGTCTCTCATCCAAGGCTGTCAAGCAAAGTAAGCAGTTTTGGGATAAGAGGGAAGGTCCTCTTCTGGATCAGTAACTGGTTAAAAGATAGGAAACAAAGGGTAGGAATAAATGGTCAGTTTTCACAGCGGAGAGAGGTAAATAGCAGTCATCCCCCCAGGGTTCTCTACTGGGATCAGTGCTGTTTAACACATTCATAAATGATCAGGAAAAGGGGGTAAACAGGGAGGTGGCAAAATTTGCAGATGATACAAAATTACTCAAGATAGTCCAAAGCTGACTGCGAAGAGTTACAAAGGGATCTCACAAAACTGGGTTACTGGGCAACAAAATGGCAGATGAAATTCAGTGTTGGTAAATACAAAGTAGTGCACTTTGGAAGAAATAATCCCAACTAAACATATAAAATGATGGGGTCTAAATGAGCTGTTACCACTCAAGAAAGAGATCTTGGAGTCATTGGTGATAGTTTTCTGAAAATATCTGCTGAATGTGCACTAGCAGTCAAAAAAGCTAACAGGATGTTAGGAATGATTAAGAAAGGGATAGATAATAAGACAGAAAATATAATAATGCCACTATATAAATCCATGGCATGCACACACGTTGAATACTGCATGCAGTTCTGGTTGCCCCATCTCAAAAATATGTAGTAGAATTGAAAAAGGCACAGAGTAGGGCAACAAATATGATTGAGGCATGGAACAGCTTCCGTACAAGGAGAGGGAAAAAAACGGGGACTGGTCAGCTTAGAAAAGAGACGACTGGGGGGGATATGATAGAGGTCTATAAAGCGACGAATAGTGTGGAGAAAGTGAATGGGGGCAGTGTTATTTACCCCTTCACATAACATAAGAACCAGGGGTCACCCAATGAAATTAATAAGCAGCAGGTTTAAAATAAACAAAAGGAAGTATTTCTTCACACAACGCACAGTCAAGCTGTGGAACTCGTTGACAGAGAATGTTGTGAAGGTCACAAGTATAATTGGGTTCAAAAAGGATTAGATAAATTCATGGAGGATAGCTCTATCAATGGCTATTAGCCAAGATGGTCAGGACGCAACCCCATGTTCTGGGTATCCCTAAATCTCTGACAGCCAGAAGCTGGGACTGGACAACAGGGCTCACTTGATAATTGCCCTGTTCTGTTCATTCCCTCTGAAGCATCTGGCAGTGGCACTGGCCATTGTCGGAAGACAGGATACTGGGCTAGATGGACCATTGGTCTGACCCAGTATGGCCGTTCTTATGTACACAATCAATTAAGTGCTTCCTTTGTATTTCTGTGGTGGTGTCTAGTCCCTAAGAACCTCTCCAGCATGCCTGCTGACCTCATGGAGCAGCTGTCTTCCCTGAAGGCCACAGCAGAAGACATGAAAGATGTAAAGGCCAAGGTGAGCAACTGGTGTGCTGTCTTGTAACCTAACCATGGAATCAGCAATGGTAACAAATCCACTGTGGTTGGCTGGGATGGTGTGCGAGACAGGGACTTTGATACTGTATCATCCAGGGTCCGAACATGTGCTATAGGCTGTGGAGTTGTGGTATCGGCATTAGTGGTGAACAACCCTCTTGTTTCATAGTGTGGTTAAGACTCTGAACTGAGACTTTGGAGACCTTTGGGTTCAATTTCAGACTCTGCCACAGACTGCCTCTATGACCTTAAGCAAATCACTTAGGGCTTGATTCCCTCAAGGACGTTACACCAGTGAAAAATCAGGTGGAGTTGAGCCTGGATCTGCTATGACCCCTTGCCAGCCCTAACACGCCTGCTCCCTTCCCATGCATTAGAAGAGGGATGCCAGTGCAGGAGGCATCACAGTTGCCTCCATCAGCTTTACGCTGGTGGAGAGTCCCCCTACAAAGGGAGAATTATCCAGGGGCTGCTTAATCTGGAGAATCCAGCCCTTAAGCTGTTCCCAGTATTATCCATGTACAATGGTTAATTCATCCCCCCCCACCACCTTTGTCTGGCTTGTCTATTTAGACTGTGAGCTCTTAAGGGCAGAGACTCTCTTACAGTGTCTTAGTAAAGTGCCCAACACAACGGTTCCCTGAACTCATTGGCTTCTCGGCACGCTCAGAATATTAAGAACAATAATAAGATCAGTATGAGGTGGGGGAGAAACCCTTGGAAAGGAGAGGGGGTGGGAGATTGGCCCTTGTGTCCCTCAGAACAGGTTGCTCCAGGCTTCCTCCCCACCTAGCCCCCTTGCAGAGAGAGCCCCAGATTCTTCAGCAGTCCTACCCAAGCCCACCTCTGCTCTGTGTCTTGCCAAGGATTATTTTCTGTCACGATGTACACTAGACTGCCCTGTTGCTTTCTGTGCTCAGGGCATTTTGGAAGGGAGAGGACAGCTGGGTGAGTGGGACAGTGTGCAGATTCCTAGCTACTGAATAGGTTAGTCCAAGATCCCCTCTTTTTGAGATTCACTCCAAAAAGTGTGTGTGTGCGAGCGTGTGTGTGTATCACATTTTTGTGTTTAATACACTGAGCTAAATTCAGATATGAGTGGATGCAAATCCTTTGAAATAATTAGAGTGTCATCTGCTTACATCAGGGCTGCATTTAGCCGTATTTGAACCCAGCACACGCACTGGGGCCGGGGGCGTGGGAAGTTATTCAGCCAGTTTGAAGGAAGTCCTTGCAGGCAGATGTGTGCCTGAAGTCTGACTTTTCACGGTTGTCATGGTTCTAGGTAAGGAAGCTGCAGAATGTCCTTGAAGCAGAGGTGGCAACAGAAGCAGATCAGAAAGTGGAGGGATCCAGTCAGATTAACCTGCAGTTAGGTTACCTCAGGTAAAAAGAGGAGAAGAGAGCTGTGGATGTGTGCATCTCTGCTGCTAATGCAACAGGCTCCAACAACAAGCCTTGGTCCTACAGGATTCACCCACGAGCTGTAGAGCTGGCCTCTGATAAAACAGGGGCCTGTTATCAGACAGGTTACATTATTTAGTTGGTGTTCGTCCTGCTTTGAGCAGGAGATTGGACTAGATGACCTCCTGAGGTCTCTTCCAACCCTAATATTCTATGATTCTATAATAAAGCTGGACTCTAATACTGGTCCAGACTCCAGAGGATTCGTACCTATGCTGTAGAGCTGGATTCCAGTGCCTCGTTTGTTATACTTTCATACAATCTAAGGTTTCTGATCCGAATCCCTCATGTAGACCTGAGCTGTGATATCTAGTTCTGTCTCACCAGGTTCAGACCTGAGTTGATGCAGAACTGAACTACAGTTAACTACTCACGGTCCCAAGTAGTTCGTCACGACCGAGAATGCTGTCCCTATTCCATTCCCCGGGATGGGGCTGAGCTGTAGCATCTGGTCCACGTTCTGGAGGACTTATGCAGGACTGAACTGCATAACCTATAGGGCTCATCTGTGCTAACTAGCCCGCATCCCACTAGGGCTGGCTTAAAAATGAGCTAGGCTCATTCCCAGCCTCCCAAAGGGTTTGGTGCATGTAGAACTGTTTTGTAACAGGTGACCCATATGCCATGGTTCGTCAAACAGAACTACCTGCAGAGTAGCCATGGTTCCACTTGGTTAATATACTGCAGGGAGCAGCCATGTATCCCTCCTGGACCGATCAGAGACTTGGACTGTGTTAAATCTGTGTATACACCACTGGGCTTGCTTGAAAGCAGAGAAGTAGAAGTAGTAACTGAAGGGCTCCAGGCCCTGATTCTAGGTTTTGCAGGGCTCTGTGCCAGGCCAACATCTATAACCTGAATAGCACACCTAGGGGGGGACATTGGGCAGGGCAGGGAGGTACATTGCTAAGTGGCTGTGAGAGGGTTTTGGCACCCGGGGCAGAGGAGTTGGGGGGGAAGTAGGGTGACCAGATGTCTCGATTTTATAGGGACAGTCCCGATTTTTGGGTCTTTTTCTTATATAGGCTCCTATTACTCCCCACCCCCTGTCCCGATTTTTCATATTTGCTGTCTGGTCACCCTAGGGGGAAGGGGTTTGCCATTACTGGGTGGGAGGGAATGTCAAGATCCAGCTGGTTTGGGGAGTGGATTGTTGTTCACCAGGTCATCTTTCAAGAGGGAGTGAGGGAAACACTGGGCCATTATGCTGGAGGGGAGGGGTTCCTAGGAGAATGCTGGGAAGGGGAAGAGAGTCTAACAGTGCAAGACCTCACCCCTCCTCGCCTCTCCTCAAAGCAGAGGGACCCCTGCAGCTGGTCTTCGCATGTGCCTCAGACTGGCTCTACGTTCCCACCTCACCCACATCAAAGAAGCTGGACAGAGCCGTAAGAACGGCTGCATTCCTTGTATGGACTGTGTGTTGCTATGTGGTTTGATAGTATCTAAACCACAGAGTTACCTCCCAGCAACCATGGCAGGGGCCAAATTCAGCCCTAGGCTAAAAAGGCTGACTTCAGGGGACCTGCATTTGGCACAGCGGAGGGTTAGCACCTGCCCGTGCTGGGTGGGTGCTGGTCCCTGTCTCCGTGCTCCAAGCCCCATGGCAGCACCTCTGCTCAGCAAATGACCCTTTCTGTTGTTGGCTCTGTGGTCCAGATCGACAGTGCACGACATAGAGAAAGAGCTGCAGGAGCTGAAGGAGCAGCAGGATCATGGCAAAGCCAAGCTGGAGCAGTCGGTGACTGACACAGCCCTCTACCTGCAGGAACAGGTCAGGTGGTTTGAGGCGAGAGGACGGGCTGCTCACTGGCTTGCTGTGAAACAGCTGCCCTTTGGGGTTGGCGCAGTGGTAACTCTGAGTATCTCTGCTTGCCCAGTTCCCCTGTGATGTCGGACAATTGCTCAGTACAAAGGTCTCCAGATTTCCTCCTCTTGAAGCCAGTGCCCTCGCCTTGTGGAGTGGGTTGAAGCTGTTAGATGGGCTCCAAAGGGCGTCTTGCCTCACTAACTGCTGCCTCCCTCCCTGGATCCTGCAGGGGAAGGAAGGGGCATTTGAGCTCAGCAGGACGCTCCCTCCAGAGCTGGGGACGCGTTTTTCATTGGTGTAGGACGGGGTGGGCAAACTATGGCCCGCGGGCCAGATACGGCCCACCAGCCATTTTAATCTGGCCCTCGAACTCCTGCTGGGGAGCAGGGGCTGGGGCTTCCCCCGCTCCAGCACTCCAGCCGGGGAGCAATGTCGGGGGCCGCTCCACATGGCTCCCGGAAGCAGCGGCATGTCCCCCCACCGTCTCCTATGCGTAGGGGCAGCCAGGGTTTTCCACTCTGCACACTGCCCCCGCTCCGAGCAGCGCCCCTGCAGCTCCCATTGGCCGGGAACCACAGCCAATGGGAACTGCAGGGGCTGTGCCTGTGGACGGGGCAGCGTGCAGAACCGCCTGGCCGCACCTCCACATAGGAGCTGGAGAAGGGACATGCTGCTGCTTCCGGGAGCCGCTTGAGGTAAGCGCCGCCCAGAACCTGCACCCCGATCCTCTCCCCACGCCCCAACCCTGATCCCCCTCCTTCCCTCTGAACCCCTCGATCCCAGCCTGGAGCATCCTCCTACACCCCAAACTCCTCACCCCCAGACGGAGCCCTCACACACCCCCCCGCACCCCACTCCCTCCACTCCAGCCCAGAGTCCCCTCCTGCACCCTGAACTCCTCTTTTCTGGCCCCACCCCGGAGCCTGCACCCCCAACCAGAGCCCTCACCCCCTCCTGCAACCCAACCCCAATTTTGTGAGCATTCATGGCCCGCCATACAATTTCTATTCCCAGATGTGGCCCTTGGGCCAAAACGTTTGCCCACCCCTGGTGTAGGAGATGACAGCCCTGGGTAGTGCCCCAAGGAGGTGCTTATCCCCAGGCTGTTGCCTCCCGGAATGCAGCAGGTTTGTTAAAGCTCGCTGTAGGCTAAAGCGTTGCTCTGCTATCTGAGGGGAAGCAGGGTAGAGACACGGCTGTTTCTTAGCTTGTCCTGGGGGCAGTTCAGTGGGCTGCCTTATGCAACCGAGCCAGACCCAACTCCTTGGTCTGGTAGCAATAAGATGCTTTGCTCAGGTACCAGCCAGTACATCTTCTGCAATACTTCTAGAGCTCCAGTCTGTGCCGACTGGCCCAAGATAGGGACCTTAATGATAGACTCCAAGGCAGTTAGGTCTAGCCTCTAGGGGGAGCACTGCTTCAGCAGCTGCTAACTGGAGAAGGTAGCCTAGGGCCCATCCATGCATGGGCAAATCCTTGGAGTCTTGGCCAGAATGTATTGCCTCGGGCATTGCTAATATCCCTGCTGGCCAGCAGCAATGGGGTGCTGGAGACACCTCTCTGATAGAGCTCAGCACCTGTCGCCCGGGTGCCCTAGCATGCAGAGAAATTCTGCTGGGCGGTGCCTGTTTCAAACCCAACTCCTTCTCTCCCCTGCCTACAGTTAGACAAGCTTAGATCTATCATAGAGAACATGATGGCCTCCTCCTCCACCTTGCTATCCATGAGCATGCCCACTAGCCCGGAGCCTGGGGAGGCAGCGCCGCATGGCACATGCCCGGCCTGCAGCCTAGACGTCAGCGAGCAGGTTAGCCAGCTGTTCAAACGCTACGAACAGCTGCAGGATTTAATTAGCAGCTTCATGACGAGGCACGCGGAAAGCAAGCCAGCAAAGAGGCCGCAGCTGAGGAGCCAGGTAAGGCCGGCCAAAGGGAAACACCCTGCTTTATTGTCCAGACTTCCAAGCTAAAGCTGTGAATGTAATGCAGTACCTGGGGGAAGCGAGGGATGGAGGATTTCAATAGCCCTGTGAGGGGATGGTTCAGACTGGATACTTTGGGATCTGGGTCCACAGCCCAGTGCAGCAGTGAGTCGGACGAGCAGGCGGCAGCCCAGGGCATGCTGATTGCTCCTAATGCAGAGCCCACGGGAAGAGCTGCACACGGGAGTCATGTGACTGTGACCAATTCAGCCCCTCTGCGCTGCACGCTACGCAGGAGCAGATCGCTGCCGGCTCCCTGGGAAGCCCATCGTTGTTCTGGCTCCTCGTTTAGCCTTGGTTTACACCTGCTGGCTGGCCTGGGGGGTGGGTGCCCTGATCCCTCATCTCCAGGCCTGGTCTCAAATCCTGATTTTAGGGGTCACATGTCAGAGTGAGTTTTGTGTGTCTTCCCACTGCCTAGTGGGCTCATGCCCAGCCCTACAAAGCCATCCCAGCGTTCAGCATGGCTCGTGGTTTCTGCTCTAGAGAAGCTGCAAACTGGAATAGCAGGGGTGGTGGAGGCCAGGACTGAGGCACATGGGCAGAGCTGTGTGAAGTCCCAGGACTGCAGTAGGTGGGGGTGCAGGTCAGGGCTTGGGTGCATTGCCAGAGCTGTGTGAACGGTATGCCCTCGGGGCTGGCATAGCAGGGGGTGCTGCAGGTTGGGGCTGAGGTGCCTTGGTAGAGCTGTGTGTGGGATTCCAAGACCGGATTAGCAGAGTATGCTGCAGGTTATGATTAGCAGAGCTCTACATGTGATGCAGCTTGCTCATTACCTGCTGTCCTGTGCCAGGCTGAGGGCAACGCAGTCACTTTCTTCCGGTAGCACTCAGCTTCACCAGAATGGCGCAGAAGAAGAGGAGGCAGGGATTTGAACAGGGATAATGGCGTAGCAGTTTGAGTCCAGTGCAAATCACAAGGGTTCCATTCCTCCGTTTGCTCTGCGGTCTGTAGCTCTAGCTTTGCGCAGATTCCCACCCTGCCCTCAGACACACGTTGCACAAGTTCTATGTGCAACTTGCAAGCCAGACAGTCCAGCCCACCTCTCTCCCTCCCCTTCCAACCGTGCACCCGTGTCATAAAGGGACTATCCCGTCTCTGGCTTGACGCCGTTCAGATCAGCACCAGCAGAGCTGGAAGAAGACCCTAGTTCGTGACCGAATGGGGAATTGGGCTCCACGTGACCCCATGTCGCATTAGTAAATCCCACAGAACATCTGCTATTAATGATGAACCTGAGATTAGAGAGGAGAACGAGGCCAGCCCAGTCCTTGTGTGGATGTGGGCGGCAGAGTTACGTTCCTGCCGCTCTTGGTGTCTGATCTCCTGTGTGGGACAACATTAGTGGCCTTATGACACTGATACCGTAACATTCTTCACTGTGTCAGAGCCCCATTATGATGAACTGATGCAATGTTATGATCTATCTAGAGATCTGCGCGTGAGATTGGGGCCAGGACTCCTGAGTTCTCTTCCTATCACTGTTTTGGCACATAACCTCTCCATGCCTTAGTTTCCTGTTTGGTAAAACGGGGACAAAAATACTTATGTCTTGGGGCTGGGGGTTGTGAGCCTTACTTGCTCAACGTATGGGAAATGTTTTGGGAGTTGAAAAGTTCGTGGTCGTATTTCAGCAGTCATTTTCTAGCTGATCCGAATGGCAGGGTATGGCGGCGCCTTCCGCTAGCTGAGCCGGGTCCCAGGAGATGCTGGAATGATTCCTAGGGTCAACTATTCAGCTGCAGCTTCTCTTTCACATTAAAAGTCACAGTAGCTAATTGTGTCTGCAAAAGTGGGCACAGGCTCGTTTTGCACAAACGGATCTGAGACTAGGGTGAGCAGCGACAGTGCACACACACAAGTGCTGGCTTTGCATGTCTGGAGTATGCACCCTCTTTTGGAAGCAGAGTCTGCAAAAACAATAGCCAGCACTAGGCATGTTGTAAATATCACTCCTAAAAGGAAAGCTCAGGGAATCAAACAGATTCATACTTAGCCAGTTCCAGTACAACCCGTGGGTTCTGGCACAGATCTCTAGGCCCTCGACTGCCACTGGGAACCACTTTTTATCTGGACTGTGTCCAGCAGGAAGGGATGTGTCCTGGATACCCCATATATCATTCTGCCCAAGGGGGACTGGGGATTGGTGAAGAGTTCTCTATGGAGCCTGTCACCTTGAGGTCACTCATTTGAATTGACTAGTAGTGGCTGAAAATCTTTGCCATGGATGCCATGTAAGTGACTTGTTCAGTGGCCTGTGTGACGCATGCTGTTGATCCAGATCTCCATGTGCAAGTGAGCAGGTGTCCGTGTCACCAAAAGCACATCGACGGCTGGCAGCCTCAGAAGTGAAGCCAAGCACTGGCTGGGCCCTGGAGAATTGCTCTCCCAGCTGTAGCAGAGAGCCCTCCACGTGAGGGATGAGGCGTCCTACCTCTTGCCCATGCCAGGCCTGCTCTGTGGTTCGAAGGCTTTGTGTCTGTCAGTAATTATCTGCTACAGAGCTTCACTTTCCCCTCCATTGCCTTTGAATCAGGACGAAGAGCTGCTGAGTCGCATCCAAAACACCATCCTCCAGGTGCAAGGAGACTGTGAGAATCTCAATGCCACCACAGGGAACCTTGTAGAAGACCATCGGCAGAAGCAGAAAGATATCTCTGTAAGTGACGGCAGGGGGCCTGGCTAGAGGATAAGGTGCTGCCTGTACTCATCAAGGGTTTGGGTTGCTTGGTAATCAGGGATGCTCTTAGCACTGTGCATCCTCATCGTGGACGCTCGTTAGCAAGGAAAACAAAGGGACGGGCAGAAGAGACAAAGGATCCTGTCTCCTGCCCTGGGAGAACCCAACTCATCTGAGGCTCTACATAGCACAGAGGATAGGTAGGTGGCTCTGGACTTGTTAGCCCCTGAGCCGCTCTCTCCTAGTCCAACATCAAGTACTGCAGGAGACTGAGTCATGCCACTGAGTTGCCTGTTATGATACACCGAGGATTTGCTGAGGCTGTCATCAGAGACTGACCCCAGAAATATGACACCCACCACAGGCATTAAAACACGAGGAGCCTGACGCCCAGTGAGTCTTGGTAGGTGAGCGCCCTCTTGAGAGAGAGGAGATCTGGAGAGGGGATCAAAGGGCAGACAGGGAATAGCACATGGACAGCCCTCCTGTCTGCAGGTTCTTACACTGACTAGGCCCAGATGTGCCCCCTTCACCACCCTGCTGTTGTGTTTAGTGATGACTCAAGATATCTGAGCCCCAAGAGGTCTCAGGCTACTAGGGAGCACGTGCAGGTGCTGCTGGTGGTCTGGGTAATGACAAGGACTGTGCAGTAATCTCAGCCTCCCCGTTCTCTGACTGGTTTTCATCTCTGCCTCTTCTGTGTTCTGTAAAGCTTCTCTTCCAGTCACTGGAGAAGTTGGAAAAGGAGAAAGCAGACAAGGAGCATCTGGAGACAGAAATTGACGTGGTAAGAGGGTGTGCAGCACCAGCTTGGGTGGGACAGACGCACGTGGTTTCTTTCACAGGCACAGGAGATGTATGTTTAGGCTCTCTATTCAGTGGGAGGTGGTGTGGTCCCCTGGCTAGGATCCCAGGCTGGAGAGCTGGGATCTGTTCCTGGCTCTTCTGTGTGGGACTTGGGCAAGTCCCTTCGCCTCTCTGTGACTCTTTTAAATGGGGCTAGTGACACCCACCTTGTAAATTGCTGTGAGATCTACTGATGAAAGGTGCTAGCCATGCTTACTTAGCATTTTACAGCCTCTAAATGCAACTTTAAGGAGACTCCCCCTGTCGCGCGCACACCGTGACACTTACATTACCTACACAGCAGCCGGAATTGTCAGTGGTGGCCCCTTATTTTGGTGTCTCAGCTGCTCAGTGTCTGAATGAGACACCTTGAGCTTTCAGAGGTGCTGAGTACCCGCAGCTCCAATTGCAGCTACTCCTGACCATACCAGAGTACGCAAGAGGAGGGTCCATGCTAGAGTCCTCCTGGGGTATCGGTGAGGAGCCGACCCAGGCCAGCCATCTAAAATGCTGTGGCAGCATCTGCTTTGATGAGGAAGGGCCTGATCTAAGTTGGCAAAAGGGAGGGGGGAGAAAGAAAATGGATAGAGTTGAAGAATGGAGCCCTTACTCAGAGCACCAAAGCCTTGATTGTGAAGGGAGGGAGGTGTCTCTTTCTGGGGAGTAGAGAGGGGGAGCTGTATGCTCACGTGGGGCCCCATGGAACGGGAATGCTGGGTGGAATGCCTCTCTTGTGCCCCAGATCAAGCTGAGGTTCTTCCTCCCTCCGCCTCCTCCCAATCACTCTCCTTTCTCCCCCTGGCCAGAAAGCAGACAAGATCGCCCTGGCTGGCAAAGTCAGCCGCACCCAGTTTGATGCCACCACGGAGCAGCTGAATAAGATGATGCAGGATCTGGTGAACAAGATGAGTGGGCAGGAGCAGGACTGGCACAAAGTGCTCGACAAAATCTTGGTGGAGATGGACTCCAAGGTAAGCTGGAGCCAGTGCCTTCTGCATGACTCACAGCCCCACCCAGTGCATTAGCCAGCTGCCAGCCACAGGAAGGGCAAATGGGGGAAGGGACTTGGCCCAGTTTCTAGCAGGACGGGATGAGGAGCTTGGTCCGCTCTAAACACTGTAAACAGCAACAAAGAGTCCTGTGGCACCTTCTAGACTAACAGACGTATTGGAGCATAAGCTTTCGTGGGTGAATATCCACTTCGTCAGACACATGCTCCAATACGTCTGTTAGTCTATAAGGTGCCCCAGGGTTCTCTGTTGCTGTTTACAGATCCAGACTAACACGGCTACCCCTCTGATTCTAAACACTGTATCTGCTATAACTGCTGGGGTTTTCATGCAGGGCCTGGGTCCTATTCTCCCTAGGGCCCCTTTACATTACTCTGGGGCCTTCAAGTGAGCAAAAGTTACGCGCGAGGCCCTTTCACGCTGCCAGAGCACTGCAAAGGGGCTGTGGTGTACATGGGAACCCGACCAGCAGTGTTTTATTTTTAATTCTCATTTCCTTCTGCCTCCTGTAATGGATCCAGCCCTGAGCCCAGGGGCAAGGGGACTTCGTCGTGCATGCTAGGAGTGCTCAGGGAACAGTTTGCCATGTCACACACACCAAGCCAGATCTGGGACCCCTGCCGGGCAGGGCCAGATCTCATCCAGCTGCTGCTGGCCTCACAGAGGGTGCAGGGGATGTGACCCAAGGTGTCCTGCCTCCTATGCATTTAGCCCTTAAACCAGGAACTACTTGGGGCAGGGATTCTGTGATAATGCTGAGCATGCTGGTGCTAAACCAGGCATGACTTTTTGTTTTCCTCTCTTCCTGTTTCGCATGGCTCTGCATTCCCCAGTACTGACCGATGTATCCCTTGTGACAGAATGACAGTTCCCTGCAATATCCTCAAATGAACTTCATTGAATTAAGTTAATTCCTTTGGGGTCCATCGTATTAAAAACGTTGTTGTGTGTGTGTTGTGGTGGGATTGTATGTATTTCCATGGGAAGGGTAAATAGGAGACCAGCAGTGAGTGATTAGGCAAATTCACTCAGGTTGTAACATCCCCAGAGAAACCACCCCCCTGGTCAGGCTGCTGTGTACTAGTTCAAACTCCAGGGATCTACAGACAAAGAAAGGGATTTGGGGTAAATAGCCTGATTTTAAACTGGCTCAGGGCCTTCTTCCTGATCCAGCCAATGGACAGGACCCCTGGTCCACGGAGGGCCCCAGTCGTTAGGGGAGGGTTGGAAGGCCTGGGCCTACTGAGGCCCCATAAGACTGGGTGCTTGTTCTGAGCTGAAGCTGTGAACTTGAAACCACAAGGCAGCCCCTTGGTGGGGGTTTGAAGGACTGCTCCTGCCTGAGCCCATGTTAGGGTTGGGGTGATCTCTGGTAGGCTTATTAGTGTGCGTGGAGGTTCTTTGTTTTTAACATGTTTTCTCTGTAATGCTTTTTACCTCAAGAATGAAAGAGGCTTGCATAGAACGAGCTGTGTGGTACTCATAACCGGAGCAATTACACCTGTTAGCCAAACCATCTCCGAAGAGAAAGCAAGCGGGTGCCCTGGGGCAACCTGTCTGTGCTGGGAAATAAACAGTGAAGGCAGGGAACTGTGCAGTCTGGAAATACCCTGGTCAAAAGGGAATGAGAGGCGGGAGAAGCAACACCTGGGGAGCTGGAAGCCAGAGAGCAGGTGCCCTGGCTGGGCCAGTGAGTGGAAATACAGGTGTAGTTGCCCTGAATTGTGACACCCCCTGACTATGGGCTGAGCAGAATTGCCCACCTTGTTTGATGTGCTGCCCGTGTGGTTCTAGTGGTGCCCTGCTGCTGTCCCATCACTTAGAGATGATCTGTGGACATTCGGTGGGTCTAGGAACCTTAGGAGGTAAAGATGGAAAGGCCCCATTCAGTGTTAGATCACTCCCAGCAATCCAAGATGGTTCTCTGCAGTACATTTCCTAACACTTCCTGCCATCTTATTCCAAATGACCCAAGTGATGGAGCTTCCACCACTTTTCTTGAGAGACTGTTCCAATCTGAATAGCAGGGGAAACTTCCCAGGGTGAGATGGGACAGCCTATGATTTCCTTTGCCTAGCTTCATCCCACAGCTCCTGCTTCTACCTCCATGTCTCCCTTTAGGAAGCATCTCTCTTCTCCTGGGTGTTCACTGCCTTTGAACCCATTGGTGAGCCATTTGTACACACGCATACAAATGCGCACACAGCTTTTACGAACTGTGCATTGCCTTGCAGCTGGACCGCCTGGAATTAGATCCCTTCAGACAGCAGCTGGAAGAGCGTTGGAAGGCCATCCGGAAACAGCTGAAGGAGAGCTCTCCGCAGTACGAAGCGGACGATGCTGCTGGAATTAGGAAGTAAGCACATCCGGAGATGGACAGCTACAGCTTTAGGAAAACACAGTAGACCAAGGGATTGGTCTCTCTGACTTCCTGGGATAACCTCAGCCAGGTTGACTTCTCTTGGGGCTTATCTACATACAGAAGTTGTACCACTTTAACCATGCCAGGATAGTTAAAGCACTACAATCCCCTAGTGTGGATGTAATTATACCAGTATAAATATGCTTAGACCAGTACAGCTGCTCCATACAGGAAGGGGAATAACTATAAGGCAACTTTATCCTGGTATAACTGCATCCACACTAGAGCTTGTACTATAACACAGTCGGTTAAAAAAAAAAATCACCCTCCTAGACAACATAGCTATAGTGGTATAAAAAATGTGTGCAGACCTGGCTTTAGGATTTTTCTAGTGCTCGCCTATTCACATACTATTGCAACTTTCCTGACCTAAAGGTGTTTCCAGCTTCTTTGCTCCTGTCGTTCTGTTGCAGGCAGAAGCTCAGTTGCAGAACAGGGAGGCTGCTAACAATGAAGATGGAGATTTTCAAAGCTGCCTAAGGGATTGGAAATGAACAGGCATCTAAATCCCTTACACAGGTTTGAAAAATCCTGTCTTAAAGCCTAAGAGCTGGTAGCTCTTGAAGTGCGCTAGGGACTTCAGTGTTGCTACTGATTTTATGTGGAAGGCCATCAGATACTATGGTGGTGGGCAGCAGTACAAAGCCCTTATATAACAGAGATCGCTGCCTCTTCAGACAGAGCCATTTGGAGGAATATGTGAGGGCGGGTGTATGGTTCAGCGATTACAGCGGGAGATTGGGACTCATGGCTTTTATTCCTAGCTCTGGCCAGATTCATTGTGTCTTCTGGGGAAGCCCCTTACTGCCTCAGTTTACTCATGTGTCATATCTACTTAAGAACTTCACAGGGGTTTGCTCCTCAAGCGGTGTCAACATTCACAAAGTGCTTGGCGATCCTAGGATGAAAGAAGTGAAGTGAAACTTTCCCATGAGTTTTACCAACACAGTGAAATGCCACCAGTTGTGAGTTGTCCCCTATGTAGGGCCACTAGAGGGCACTCGTGCTCAGTGTGTAGGTCCGATGCACGGGCCCACACACTGCAGGGGCTGCCAGAGAAATGAAACCTGGGGAGTCCTGTTGCACCCTGTTAGCCAGATGACACAATAACAGTTTTGTATGGCCCACGTGTTCTGTAAGATACAGACAGGGTCTGACATCCAGATTCCACTTCCCAGCCCACACATGTACTTGTGTGCTCTCTCCTTTATTGAACCTAACATCAGATCCACTGGGAGGGGTGGAAAATAAAAGCAAACAAACTCTGATAAGATGAGTCAGGTTTTCCCCCAGCATCAGGCACCCTCTCGGGGGAAGGCAGGGGTGCCTATGTGGTTGATTTCAGTTTTGCCTGTAGGGTGATCTTTACATAAATGGGCAGGTTCAGAGCCGCCATGCAGTCCCTGCAAGAGAGATTGCGCTTTCATGTCAACTCAGGACAGGTTGCTGATTCATGATCCTATCCTTGCATTATTAATGTTACGAGTGATTAGGAGCAGGATTGTTCTGGAGTTTGGGGTTCTTAGCTACCTGCTCTCTGAAAGTGCAGATCTGGGTCCCAGTTCTGTGCCCTCTTCCCCCCACAGCTTTAATAGGGTTGCCTAAGGTTTATGTGGGTGCCGAATTCCACCCCTTCATCACAGTTCTGTGCCAAGTTACATGTGCTTTTAAGCAAATTTTTCCTGGTGTGTTTAGTGCTGATAGAACTGCAGACTGGGTGTAGTGTGTAAAAGACCAGTGTGTATGATAAGTGTGGACGTGGGTGTAAATTTCGTATCCATCGATACATGTGTGACACCCAGTGCCTGGTGTGTAAAATGATTTCATAGCAGTTACAGGTGCAAGGTTTATGTGTACGACAAAACTTAATCACGCTGGCAATGACAGCTAGTGGTTAGCGCAGGAGAGTTGGCGTCAAGATCGCTGAGCCTGCCTCTGATTTGCGAGGCGACCTCGGGCAAGTCACTTCCCCACCTGTGCACTGAGGATAATGACATTGGCCCACCTCACAGGGGGTGTGGAAGGAGTTAATGTGTCACTTTGCCCTTGGTGTTTATTATTTGTGTTACTGTATCGCCTCAAAGGCCTAGTCGACCCCAGGGTGCTAGGCACTGTACAAACACAGCACAAAAAGAGTCCCTGCCCCAAAGTGCTCACAAGCCAAGTACAGCCCCTTTCATCTTAGTAACTCTGAGTATTATTATCATTATATATTACAAATAACTGGCCAGATCCTCAGCTGGTGTAGGTAGTTCCATTGAAGTCACTGGAGCTGTGCTCATTCACACTAGCTGTGGATCTGGCTCAATACATAGAAATACCGACGTAGTTACTTGAATAAAATTAGTTCCCTGGCCAGTGTATTGCCGATATGGTCACCCAATGGAGCTATAGAAATATTTCATGTCCCAGGTCACCGTTCTTAGCGCCCTCTGTGGCTCCTCGGTGGTCCTCTAGGCTTGGGGCTCTGTAACTTCTTATTCAGTCCTATTGTCCTTAGCACAGAGCCAAAGAAACCGTTTGCCCCTGGGCCTAAGCCTGTAATGATTCCCATGTCTGGTTTCATCCCAACAGAAGACTGATGGCTCATTTCCACTGCATTTCCTGCGACAGGCCTCTGGAAATGGTGGTGCCCGGCCCGTAAGTACTGGACTGTGTTTCCTGAGCGCATGGATGCAAATGTTTTATTGGCGTAAACGTGGCTCTTCAGAGTGCTGCGGCCTTTTACAGGTGGGGCTGGTGGGCAGCCGCTGCTCATGGTCTCTTGAGTTCAGCGACATGGATTAAGTGACATGAGGAAAGAAATAGGGTGGGGGAAGAGGGGCAGTGATGTATTTTCCCCATGTTTGGGAGGGAAACAACATGCCTCCCCCCACATCCACGTACACCGTTTTCACACTGCTGTGCCCCTGTGCGCCTTAGCATGGTGATTCAAACACTGGTGACATGTCCCCGAGGTGGGTTCGGAAGCTGCTTTTTGGGGGCACCCCTCAAACTTCCTATTGGATCTTAAGCAAGTTTCTAACCCTTATGGTGCAGAAACCCTCCCAAGTGCGACTAGCTGCAGTAATTAGGTTCATTGGCTACAGCTCACAGGAACCACCTTACCAGATCAAACCAACGGGGTCACAGGACACAAAAGGGGGCGGTTCGGGTGCCAGGGGTAAACCCCTTGCTCCAGTGGTGTGAGCATAGAGCTGGAAGCCAGGACTTACTGTGTTGTTATCCCAGCACTGCCACTGGTCGAGCTGGTTGGCTATTTTCCAGGGGAACATTTTTCCATCAGAAAATGCCAATTCTTGGACAGTGAAACATGTAGATCAGGGGTCGGCAACCTTTCAGAAGTCGTGTGCCGAGTCTTCATTTATTCACTCTAATTTAAGGTTTCGCGTGCCAGTAATACATTTTAACATTTTTAGAAGGTCTCTTTCTATAAGTCTATAATATATAACTAAACTATTGTTGTATGTAAAGTAAATAAGGTTTTTAAAATGTTTAAGGAGCTTCATTTAAAATTAAATTAAAATGCAGAGCCCCCGGACGGGTGGCCAGGACCCGGGCAGTGTGAGTGCCACTGAAAATCAGCTCATGTGCCGCCTTCGGCACGCGTGCCATAGGTTGCCTACCCCTGATGTAGATGCTGACAAAAAATCTGTTTGAAAAAGCCCCTGATACAAAGCGTTCCGATGGTGTCGGAGCATTCCATGGCGACAGTTTCAGAAGGGAACGTTTTGGTTTTGAAATTTCTTTTATATTACAAAGGGATACAAATTTAAAACCCCCAAATCAGAACAAAAAATGGAATTTTGTTTTGCAGGAGTTTTCTAATCTCTTCCCCCCCCCCCCATTTTGGAACAGAAAAAAATGTTTCATTGTGTGGAATTTCACACAAAATGGAAAAACTGGGTCCCGTCCAGCTCTGCCACTGACTCTGTATGTGGTCTTCGGCAAGTCATTTAATCTCTCCATGTTCTTGGCTGTAAAATGGGGGATAATAATATTTTATTGACCTCTTAGGAGGCTAATAAATCAATGACTGTGCAGAGCTTTGTCCACAGAAAGTGCTACAAAGGGAGGATTATAAAGTAACCGGTTTCAGGAGCTCATCCTCCCCTGACCCTTTCTGTCAGACACTCGCTGTGTCGTGCTATCTCCAATCCCCTGTGCTCGGAACGAATGCTTCATAGCACCTGCAAACTTGGAAGAGCCGTGATCAAATGAGATAAAGCCTTAATCTCTTTAACTCGGGCATATCAGCTGCTAGAATCTGATTGACACTGAAGTGGGAAAGCAAGGACAGTCGCCAGAATAGTGACAGGTTTCAGAGTGTAAACTTCAGATGCAGTTGGCCCGATATTAATTATTCCATTCCTGCGCTGTGGCCGGGGGTGGTGAGGTGAGGAAGGGGGCAGGGGGCAAAGATAAATTTAAATTCCTTTTGCACTCCCCACATTCTGGAGCCTTGCACAGTCCTGCCCAGCCCCCAGTGTAAATTAGAGCGGCCTAAGAGCTGCTCTAACTTAAGCTCTTTTTCCCTGGTCCCTAGGAAGTCGGGAATCGCTTTAGTGCAGTGCACTCTGGCCATGCCCCCAACGTGACCCTGACCCCACCCCGTGCCGGGGCTGGCATGGAGCCCCAAGCCCAGCTCTTCACTGGTCAGGGAGGCCCCTTGCCCAAGAGAGTTTCTCAGGGGCCATTTCTGCCTACTTTCAGACCCCTTTACACTGCCAGAGGGGCATGAAGGTGTTACTGCAGGGATTAGAGTCTCTCTGGTGCTGACCCCCATCCATGCTTTAGGGCCCAGTAAACTTCTCCTTGCGCTGGCCCTGGAGCAGCAATGGGAGAGGTCGATTCAATCCATGATTCGTTCTCCAGGCTTCACGTACGCCTCCTTCTGGACGGCAGCTACAGCGCCATGTGACCATGCGCCATGTACAAATGAGGGGCTGAGATCTCCCTCCGGGGACATGTGGCAAACCCCAGACATGCCAGGCAGTGGATTTAATAACCAGGGATGTTTGTATTTTCTCCTCTTCTTCCCCTGACCCCTTTGCTTATTGACTCACCAGGACCATCATGACCGTCCCCTCCGTGCCGGGGTTACCATCCCACCGCTCCATCCGGCCCTACACCATCTACGAACTGGAGCAAGTCAGGCAGCACACCCGCAGGTACGGTGCATGCGGGAGGGAGGGGCCTTTACTCCTATTGCTGGGCTTCACGTGTGGGTGGGGACCAGAGAACGGGGGTTGAGGGGGAAGAGCTCTCCATCTCCACTGGGAGTGGTGGCAGCGCAGAGGTTCCTCTGCTAGCAGAAGCTTCTGGTGTTGACCAGGTTGGAGCAACAACTGCAGCTTGGACCAGCCAGCCAGGCGGGGCCCTTCCCAGGCCTGCCTTCCATTTCCGGCTGTCTTGGAATTAGCAGAGTGGGGACGGTTCCCCCCAACCAGGGCCAGCTCCAGGCACCAGCTTAACAAGCAGGTGCTTGGGGCGGCCAAGGGAGAGGGGCGGCACCTGCGGCAATTCGGGGGCGGCAGGTCCCTCACTCCCTCTAGGAGTGAAGGACCTGCCGCTGAACTGCCGCCGCCGATCGCGGCTTCTTTTTTTTTGCTTGAGGCGGCAGAAATGCTGGAGCCGGCCCTGCCCCCAGCCCCCTTTCCCCAATGAGGCAGCTGTAGGCATCACCCTGCTGCAGGCCTGCTCTTCCTAGCAGAGGGCTGACTGCCTTCTCCTAGGGAGACTGGCCACTCTCCTGCCCTGGGTTTCGATGCACTGAAGCCTTGTACTGCTGCGATGAATGCAGCTTCCTTTCTCTCCAAGCCCAGAGCTGGAATCCATACACCTGCTGGGTCATCGAGAGGGGGAGGAGAATTTATCCACGCTGTTGTGAATTGGATAGGGGCCAGTACTGCTCTCAGGGACACCTATGTGTTATGTCCCAGATTACAAATCAAGGCACTGAGATGAGGTACCTAAGTGTCTGCACAGCAGTCATTGAACTCCCAAGGTCCTGCCCCAGCACAGGCTGGGCTCAGTGTAAACTCTGGGATGGGTTCTCTAGGGACCACTGCTTTGGTTGTTCGAAAGTCCTGGTCAGGGGATGTCCCTAGGATCTTACATGGAGCAACCCCATTGATCTCCTTGGGGGTTGCACTGGTGTCAGTGAGAGCAGACTTTGGCCATGCAGACATTTGCAAGGAGTTAACTGACCCTTTCTCCCCTCGGCCTCACAACCCTGCACAATAAAACCTTTGTAAGTCCTCCAGCTGTGACGATAGCAGGTTGTGGGCCTGAGCACAGCTCCAAACTCACTGCTGGGTGATGCCCAGCCCCACGTCACTCGAACAGGGAAACCCAAAACTCTTCTGTGGCAGAAAGAACGAATCACTTCAGCCAGTGTGCAATGAGTTTTGCGGGATCTCAGCCCCGTGGAATGTATCCACAGGAGAGAACCCCGCACAAGTGGCCCCGTTTGGTTGACGTCTCCTCGGGGAGGGAAAGGGCTGAGTAACTCCTGAAGAGTGGAATACCCTCTCAGATCTGAGGGGTCGCGGCTGCATAGGGCCGAGGCTCATCTGCATGAGGGAAGCCTGCTCTGCTGCTAACACTGCTTTGCAGATGACTAGAGGACTTCAGTCTCCAGTGCTGTTGGGGTGGGGTTTCAGCCACCTTTCTCAGGACTCAAATGGGCTGGTACAGCCCGGCTCACCTGTCCTCGGGGTCCTCATCCAACTCCCCAAACAGTATAATGGCCCGATCCTACCGCCCTTCCGCATGCGAGCAGCCCCCGTTAGAGCCCACGGGACTAGTCGTGTGAGCAAGGCTGGGGGATTAGCTCTAACAGCGTCCCAGCCCTGGGTAACCGTATGACTTCTCCTTTCCTTTCCCCTCTCTGAATGCATCTCCTCCTCCGCCCCAGTCTGAAGTTAGGGCTTAGGCCCTTCCCTCGCTTGGATGCGCTCCAGCTGGAGAAGAGCGTGGGCCTTGGCAAGCTGCGCAGCATCCACTCCAAGATGCTCATGGACATAGAGAAGGTGCAGATCCACTTTGGGGGCTCGGCGAAGGCCAGCAGTCAGATGATCAGGGAGATAATGCAGTCGCAGTGTCTCAGCCCAAGCCAGTATAACAAACGGTAGGAGAGCAGGTCTGAGTAGTGAGTATATAGCCAGAGAGATGGGGGGAGGGGGGCTCTTATCCCTGCCCACACGAAGAGCTCGGGCACATACGCATTCACCACAGGGATTGCTGATAGGGCAACCTGATACCTGCTGCGTACAGATGATGGGCAGTTATCAGCCCGGCCCCAGTCATTACGCAATATAGAGCCTGAGCCTGTGGAGGGGCAGTTGGGAGGGACTCACCCCCTTTCCTGGCTAGTTGAGCACGGCTGGACGTATCTCACTTCCCTTGGTGGAGTGTCTTGACCTTTCTGTAGCGCTGCTCTCAGATACAGACAAGCTGTGCTCTGTACCCCGCAGGCCGTCCCGAGGAGAGGGTACCACACTGCAGGAGAGTCCTAGGGCAGAATAGGGTTCGCTATTCAGCAAAGCAGGATTATGTGACCAGCCAGGGGTCAGGCCCTCTTTGGCATCGTAGGCACACAGGACTTGCCCTAGTGGATCAGACCAATGGTCCAGCTAGTCCAGTATCTTGTCTCCAGCTGTGGCAAGTACCAGATGCTCCAAAAGAAATTGCAAGAACCCTCCAGTGGACTGGTATAGGGACAGTTCCTTCCTAAGTAATTCTGAACGGGTAGCAGTTGGCTTCTGCCCCTGAAGCATGACTGTTGATCTCTCTTATAGACTTTTATCCTAGGTGACGTGCATACTAATCATGGTACAAACTGGGTCCAGTCTGATCCTAGGGGATAGCATGTGAGGGTGGAAGTTGATAGATAAATAAATAAAGCATGGGAAGGGGGGCGTAGAAACAGCCCCTCGTAGTCAAACTGGCCTTTAGACACCAGAAGAGTTTGAGGGGGGGAATATTTGTTTGGCTCCAGTTGTGATGAAGCCTGTTCTGGATCTGTTGTCATGGTAGCTACTCACATGGATCTTCCTCTTGTGAGAGATCCTGGGTGCTTTTAACTGCTGTATTTGAGATGGGCCAGGTTCTGCCCCAGACCCACTCCCTTACCCCCACTCCGGATTGACAGCGCTGATCATTAGACCCGCGCTACGGCAGACAGCCCCCTCTAATGGGATGCACCACAGGCCAAGCACACAACGTCAGTTACCATCAGTAAGGCGGGCCTCAGACTCCAGCCTCCTCTGCTGCTGGGCCCCTGGATTTGTGTGTCTGTCACGTCCTTTGGGGTTTGCCATGTGGTTTGCGCTTTCAACCCAGATTGGGGACTGAGCCTGGGCCTGTGAGCTGGGGGTGTCCCCAGGCTGCGCCCCGCTCTGCACATCGCTCTGTGGGACTTCTCGGTGTGTGTAGGTTTCCCTTTGTCTGTGGTTCAGCAGCCTGACGATGAGCAAATCTCACAGACCCCAGTGCTGGAGTGATGGTGACTCCCTGGCTTGGGGAAATGGGCCTTTCTCCTCCGGAGACCCCGCCCTGGGTTATTCTGGCACAAATGAAAATGAGTCTGAGTTCATCCCATCTGCACATGGGGTCCCTCGCAAAGGGCCTGATCCTGGGAGGGGCTGATGAGTCCCCAATTCCCATTTAAAATAATGGGAGCTGAGGGTGCAGAGCATGTCTCAGGACTGAGCCCTCCCCGTAGTGTGGAATGACTGGTGGGGTGTGCTTGGGAGATGCCCAGGTCTGCAGTGAAGTGTGTGTGGGAGGAGCTTGTTTGGCACCTGCCCATGTTGCGTCTGGCTCCAGCCAGAGGGTTTGTCCCTCACTGCTGTGAGCCCCAAATCGTAGAGATGATGCTCCCAAATCCAGACCTGAACTCACTGGATTCTGGAGCCGTTCGGATCCAGCCCCATCTCCAGCAGGCTGAGCCGAAAACCTGGATCCAGACTTTGGAGAAAGTTTTGAATTTGGATCCAGCTTGGCAACTTGGGCCCCTCTCTATAGGTCAGAGGAGAATAAGAGGAGACCCAAAGAGTCCAATGGGTTGTCCTGAGGGGTGAGTGTTTCTCTTTGCCTAATACCCAGGCCTTGAATCCCAGCTGTGTCAGGCCCCTCTCCCCACTGCTACCGTGTTACTGTATGGATGCACAGGCAACTGCAAGAATTTCCTGCTACTAGAAGGTTGTCCCTCCCACCTCAAGGCTCCTTGTCCCTTCCTCAGCTCCCTCTCCTGTCTCTTCTTTTCCTTGTCCCTGTGGTCTTCATGGAGTTCACAGCTAGCTCAGTGTCCATGCGTGGGGCTCCAGCAGTAGCAGCCAGGAGAGCTACGCTCATGGTAGCATCCCTGGAAGGGGTCACTTTCAACATCCTTTGAAGGTGACCTGCAAGGAGAAGCTAGTCCCTGAAAAGATTTTTTTGTTTGTTTGTTCTTTCTCCTTAGAAAGATCAGGAATGTCAAGTCCCTGGTTTTGTTGGAGGGACTTGTTTGGGATCTGGGAGCTTTCTCAGCACATAAATGAGGGGCTGAGAGAAAGGTGTTGAGACTTTAACAAAGACCACTTTTCCCCCAAGTGTTTGTCAGGATTTGAGTTAAATGGATGCTAACAAAAATGTGCCCGTCGTTCTAAACAGGCTGCACAAAAGTCACTTCCCCTCTCACCAATCAAGCGTCAGTTTCATGGTGTCTCAGCTGTCAGGATCTCACCAGGTCTCCAGTTGTCCACAGGAAAAACAGGATAGGCAAGCTAGCAATGTCTAGTTTACAAACATGCAGGATGTTTTTTAAGAGCCATACCCCTTCCAGGCTTTCTTTGTCCCTCTTAAAGCCGCAATAAAGGCCACACACCCAGTTACTTCCCCATCACAGGTCACTGGTAACACAGGGGCGTGGCAGCAGGAGGCTTTTGTTTCTATGGTGACTTACGAAGATAGAAAGCCTGGTTTCCAGAAGCCAGCTCGGTTTTGCAGTGTGCGCTGGAGCTGGGCTGTCGGGGAGGCTTTCTGCTGTTTACCTGGCTGAGTTTGCAGCGTTGCTGTTCACTGTCCCACAGTGACAAGATGGCGGAGATGGCGGAATACGGTTACCTGTCCATGCCTCGGCGCTGCGGCGGCAGCCACACCCTTACCTACCCCTACAGGCGCTACACACGGCTGCAGCAAATCGCCCAGTGTATGCCGGTGCATCCCGAGGAGACTGCCATGCTGACAGTGATGAAGGTATCAGGGACTGGGATGGCGGGGAGGGAGAAAGACCAAGAACACAGTTGGCCTGACTCTCCACCGGCCCACGCCTCGTGTGACCATTGACACCAGTGCAAAGTGGGTGTAAAACAATACCTGGTCACGACAGAAGTGCGCTACGCTCTTGCTTTGCACTGGGCTCCAGGGATATGCAAGGCAAGGGAGAACCAGACCCGGAGTGTGTCTGGGACATGGGGCTGGCCCCTCCACCTCAGTTCCCGCTGTTGGATCACAAGAAAAACAGTTCTATTCCTAGATACAATCCCGGTCAGATTGCCCCAGAGCCAGTCTGGATCTTGTATACAAGATGCTAATAATTTTGAATCAATAAAATGTATCTTCTTCATAAGCCTTGACTACGCTCGGGACGTGTTGCAAAGACGACCCTCGGTTGCTAACACCACTTCAGCTCCATGGTAGCCGTAATGTTGAGCCATAGATGGGGCTGCTGCCGGAATTTTAAGTCCCAGGTCATCTTACCCTGCTCAGAGCAGGTCTAAAGGAAACACTACTTAAACCACAGCAACCCGGCTTTTGCTACCAGTGTTGCTAATCACAGTGGAAAAGTCTCTGACTTGACCAAAACAGGCTGTTGTGGTTTCCACTGGGGAATTTAACTTTTGAATCATCTGGCAATGTAAGGCTTTTTAGAAATCTTCCTTTAGCCAGGGCCCTGTGTGTATCTGCAGCTGTTGGACGAGAAACGGTGGTTAGGGCTGGTAAGGGTGAGAATTAGTCGGGCCTTTTTAATCACCAGCTTTTCCAGGAATGCAGGAAATGTTGGGGGAAGGAAACTCTTTGGGCCAGGTCTCAGCTGCATGAAAGCGTGTGTGTGTGTGTGTGTGTGTGTGTGTGCGCGCGCGCGCGCACTGCACTGGTACTGTAAAAGGGCCTTACACAGGCTGGAAACACCCCCATAGAATTCCCTGGAGCAGGAGGCCTTCTGGCTGGTGCAGAGCTGGTGTGAAGTTTCTACACTGACAAGAGGAGTGTGTCAGGCTTGCCTGGGGTACACCACACTGTCTGCTCTTGGTTTCCCAGGGGCGGTGGGAAGTAGAAGTCAGAGGAGCCCTGAGGCTGCTCTAGTTTATACTGGGGACCAGGCAGACCCAGCAATAGCCTCAGAATAAGGGGAACATGAAGCCACATTATCCCCCAAATCCCTGCCCCAAGTACGGGACAGGAGTAGTTGAGAATCCAGCTGTTTGTTCCTAACCGAGTTCCTCCTGAATACAGAGGGGCTTGGAGTATCTGGACTCTCCAGAACCCCTAGCGCCCAGAGACTCTGAGCACCACAGCTTGTTTTCTAGCTTCTCTAGCAGTTTCTAAAGAAATTCCACCCTTCCCTACCCCAATCTTGGGTGCAGAATAACCCCCAACGAGTCAGGGAGAGCAGATGCTCCAGCTTCTGCCTCTCATTCCCAGCTCCACCCGCTCCTGACCGGGGAGGTCCACAGAGGTCAGACTAGACGGTTCGGATGATCCCCTTTGGCAAAGATGGCAGCACTGAGAGTGAAGCAGGAAGCAGTACACTCCCTCTCCTCTGCCCCCCACGAACCCTGCTTCCACATCTCCCCAGCTGCCCGTTGAGATGCACCTGCCTCCCAGATACCTCACCCCTCTGCAGTGCCTTTGCCTCCAGCGCTTTGCACAAAGGCCCTTGCCAGGCCTGTCATCGTGACTGGCCAAGTGGCGAGAACAGTGGACTGGGACTCAGGAGAGCTAGGTTCTGTCCCGGGTTCAGGGGGTCCTTGGGCAAGTCACGTTACTTCCCTGTGCCTCGGTTTCCCTATCTGTAAAATGGGGGCAATGATCCTGTGGAGTGCTTTGAGAGCTATTGATTGAAAAGTGCTATGTAAGAGCTAGGGGTTGTTTTTCTTATTGCACCTGTGGCTTTTCAGGAGACCTTTTCCCTCACAGGCCTGGCCACCCCGTAGAGTCCAAGGTGGTCAGAGAAGTCTCAGTCCCTGGGAAACAAATCTCAGGGCTATATCCCCTATTAATAGTTCACATACAAGCCCACAATTAATTCCCTGGGGCGGGTGGGGGCAGAGAAAGAAAGGCGTGATTGGAAACACCCCAGACATGGGGTTGGGGCCTGTTCCAAAAGGGACACAAAGTCAGGGCGTTCCCAGGTGCCTACAGCCCCCCTCAGGCCCTGTACAGTGTGCTGACATGCCTGGTTCTGCGCACTGCTGTCAGTCAGAACCGGCTCAGCCCTGGGAATGCGCATCGGAGCCTCCTCACCCCCACTCCACCTCCCCTGGTCTGTCCCTGCCAGATCTGAGCGAACAGAGCAGTGTAATGGAGGGGGAGGGGGAAACAGTGCGAGGTTGGGCTAGGGGGACGGGGTAACAGCGATAGAGAATTGGGGGGGGGGAGAGATGGACTATCCAGGGCTCTGAAAATTGAGAATGGGAGTAAGAGAGTGAGACAAGGTGATGGGATGAGGATGGTGTGACAATGGCAGAGATGGAGAAGGGACGTGGCTTGGAGGGGCAGGGAGGAATTAATGGGCGGAGTAGCGGCCTGCATTAAGAAAATTCCTACTATCTCAGTGTGGTTACATCAGTTAGCGACACTGCACTGATGCAAAGCTGGGCACATAGCTTGATCCCATCATTCAGTGACGTACTTTACCGCAGGTGCAAAGCCCACTCTGCATCGGTGGAGCACATCCACACTCGGGCTTGATACTGGCATAACTCCCTTGATGTAGCAGCGCACGTGTGGATTTCCTTAATGTGGACGGTGCCCTAGGTACAGAGGGGTCGGCGCAGGGCAGCATTCCCGAGTGATACTGGTGTTTTCTAGTAAATACGTTAGACCATTGCGGAAGGGAAAGGAGGTGACTGCAGGGTGTTGAACCCGTTCACTCTGCTGCTGCGTGGGGGTCTGGAACAGGTATTCTTCTTTGCCTGAATGGAGGTTAGAAATGCTAATAACCCTCTGGGGTTGGAGCCAAATCCATTCTGTTTAGGTGCCCGTATTGTGCCCATCCCTAAGATATTTGAGCATCTTCCAGAATTAAGAATAAACCAGTAGTATCTGTCATGGGACATTTCCCCTCCCTTCCTCCTGCCAAGGGGAAAGGTTTTGTCCCTGCGTCTTTACAATGAAATATTAACAGCCCCTTTCCAATATGCCACACGTTGCTTTGTGGAGACAGCAAGATTGAAGCAGTAGATCTAGGATAACCTTCTCAAACATGCCTAGGTGAGTTAGCAGTGAGTTCGGAGCCCAAGGCCCCCTGACAATCAACATGATGTCGGCTCCTAAGTGGTTTAGGAACTCTTGAGTCCCCAGGTCTCAATTTTAGCAGTGTAAATCCAGAATAATTCCAGTAGCCTTTTCAGATCCGAGACTAGAATCTGGCCACCTGGATGTAATTTCCTTTAATGTACATTTCAGACCCTGATATCTCTGATGCCCGTTCACTTTTTGGTAGAATATTGTTTGCTCTTCCGTGGCAGGACTCCTCTCAGAGAACAGATCAGGGTTTGTGTGGAACTATGGGAGTCACTGTCACCCTCTCTCTAATACCAGTGTCGTGACTGTGAAGACCATCCGTACACAGAGGATGGGACTGATATGTGTGGTCCCGCTCTGGACAGTGACTACATACAAACAGCCACTGCTGACTTTAGTGACTGAAACAGGTTGTTACTGTTGTTAGCCCTGGAGAGCCAGCACAGCTCTGGGAGCATGAGCTGGATTCTCTTTTGTCTCATCAGCACACCTGTTAACCAAGTTCTGACCGAGGATGGAAAGAACCCAGCTTGACTCTCAGATCCCAAGTTGAGTTTGGAGGGCGAGCGGTTAGAGAAGCTAGTGGTTTACTTGCAAACTGAGCAGATTGATCTGAAGCCACTGAGAGGCAGTAGCCAGGGGACCCCAGCTATGCTGTTCTTACCGAGTCACTGGTCTGTGTCGAACCCCCCTGGCCAATGCCATTCAGCTCATTCCCAGGGGTTTTCACTGTTGTTTTCTTTTAAAAACGCTGGGCATTTAAAAAGAACTCTGTCCCCAAGTCTGACTTTAACCACTGGCACCAACACCAGTTCTGTCTTTGCGTTTCCTTCCTAGCATGAAGAGGTGGATATCCTGGGCCTGGATGGACACATCTACAAAGGGCGGATGGACACTCGGCTCCCATCAATTTCAGCCAAGGATGGTAAGTCTCGGATCCCCTGTATGTTTTCTTTGGGGATCCTTTGTTTGCCTCCTGCATGTTGTTGATGGACTGCAACTGTTTCTTTATCATGCTGGCCAGACAGAAACTGAGGAATGTGGGTTTTAGAGAAGAGAAGGGTGTTCCCTCTTTCGTCTGTTTCTCCAAAACGGATCTGCTGTCCACGTGGCACCCTGAAAAGGGCCACTGTATGATGGGAGGCCTTTATCTAGCTATATTAGGTAATTATATCGGCCTCCAGCACCTCGGTATCCGAGCACCTGACAATCTTTAATGTATTTCTATCCTCCTCAACCACACTGTGAGGCAGGGCTGTGCTGTTATCCCCATTGTACAGATGGGAACTGAGGCACACAGAGTGACTTGCCCAAGGTCACACAGGAAGTCTGTGGCGGGATTTGTCCCAGGCTAGCACCCGAACCACGGGATTGTCCTTCATCTTGATTCCTTGAATGGAATCTGCTGCTCACATGACCGCCGGCCCTCTCCCCAACCCCTGTAAATCCGGTATCCTTAAAACAATAGCTTGGGAAATGGGAGGTATCAGCTCCCTCGGAGCCTGCTTCAGCGCACTGCTCGTCTCAGACCTAACCGTTGGCTCAAGGGTCGGCAACCTTTCAGAAGTGGTGTGCCGAGACTTCATTTATTCACTCTAACTTAAGGTTTCGCGTGCCAGTCATACATTTTAACGTTTTTAGAAGGTCTCTTTCTATAAGTCTATAATGTATAACTAAACTATTGTTGTATGTAAAGTAAATAAGGTTTTTAAAATGTTTAAGAAGCTTCATTTAAAATTAAATTAAAATGCAGAGTCCCCCGGACCCGTGGCCAGGACCTGGGCAGTGTGAGTGCCACTGAAAATCAGCTCGCGTGCCGCCTTCGGCACGCATGCCATAGGTTGCCTACCCCTGCTCTAGACAAAGGGCACCGGCTATAGCTTCCACGCCCCCCTTGGACCCAGGATGGAACTAGCCCTAGCCCATGACTGAAATGTTGCCCCCTCCACACAAACACAGCCCACCAAGGCTAGAGGCAAGACTTGAAGAATGTGCCCCTATTGCCCCCTGTTGGCTGCCATGGGAATGGCTCCCAAATTCTGCAGAGATAGGCCAAACTTCAGCCTATGCAAGAATGCGTAGGGCAGTGGTGTCCTGCCACTGAGTAAGGGGGAGCAGCCAATGGGACACTGGGAGGGGAGGGGTCAGAGAGCAGCCAATGGGGCTCATGGGGTGCTGGGGATCCCCACCGGTAGCCAGGGCACCACACCAGAGCATGCAACTGAGCCAATCAAAAATGGGAGAAAACTGGGTCAACAGTCAAGCGTCCCGTCTGGCACTTGTGTGCATCATTCCTCTCTTGGAATCACTGCCAGGTGACAGCAGCAGCTTGAATGAACTTGTCCTTCCCTTACAGTCCTGGTAGCTCATCTGTTCTCCTGTAGACTTTGCCAGTTACATAACAACGTGCCCGAGGCGGGCGGCGGTTTTGGCAGGGCAGAGCAGTGTGTGCATGTTCAGATCTGCATGCTAAACCCCAGGAATAAGGAGAGCACCCAAGGGTGCTCAGCAAACGCATCAGGTCAAACCTTTCCCCAAGGAAATGAAGGGGCAAGAACCCTGGGATCTTTTCCTGCCTCTGCCATGGGCTGGGGAAATTGCATGCTCGCTGCCTCAGTTTCCTCATTTGTAAAATGGGGATAATAACGTTTCCTCATTAATGTATGTAAAGAGCTTTGAGATCCTGGGTTAGAGGACACTGTAACAGCACCCAGCAGTATTGCAGCACTGATTCCAGGTGAGCAGGGAATGCAGCCCCCTCTCAAGTAGCTGCTCCCTAGCACTGAGTGCTAGTAAACTCCCCACGAGGCATTGTGTTACTTCTCCTATACACTTCTCTGCAAGGTACACTGCACTTGGTGACATACACTGCGATCTGCTATTTTCCACTCATCCCAGCTTCCTGGTCTTTGGGTGGCTTCCCGCTGTGTGGCCACACGCAATGGGGTCCCACAGAGACTCCACCGTGAAAGGTCCTTGGACAGCAGATTCTCAGGTCACTGACTTGAATGGAGTTCCACCAGGTCCAGGAGATTCTATCAGGGATGCATGTAGCCCAGAATGTCTAAGGCTAACACCCATCTCAGATCTGCGCAGCGCTCCCATGGGCAATCCTCTGCGGTAGCTGAGCCACCATTATCTCATGGCTCCACATGGCTCCAAGAATTGTTGAAAGCCTCCACTTACCCTTATGCTTCCCACCAGGTCCTTTGAAGTCCAAACCCAAGCTCTCCCGGTCTTCATCACAACGGCAGCCGACCCTGATGGACACAGCTGGCCTCCCGGCACGCCCGCACAGCGCCAAACTGTCTTCCCCCAGCAATTCAGGTACCTCGCTTGGGTCTAGATGGGAGCTGGAGCCCCCTGAGAATTTACTGTCTGATGAGCATGTGCTACTGAGAGGCTCCTAGCGGAATCCTCTGTCTCGTTCCCTGTGTTCCTAGCAGAGATTCCCCCCCCTGGAGCTGGGGTAGGTTATGCCAGGCGCTGTGGAAGTGCTGAGGTGAGGAGGGTTCAAGGAGGCTTCCCCCCTCCCGAGGGACAAGACACACCAGTCTGCCTCTGGAGTCCCCACTAACCACGGTTAGCACAGGAGTATTTGTGCCCAGCTGCTGCAGAGGCAGCCAGCAGAGGGGGCATGAGTTAAAGAACAAACCCGCTTCCCATCACAGCGCTGAGGCTGTTTGTCAGGACATCAGCGATGACAAAAGCCGACAAGGAAATAAAAGCACCCCTGGGACACCGACAGGCTCTGTAAACCAATCGGGGGGAGGGGGTAAGCTGGGGGGGGGAATCACTGGGGCCCTTGCTCCATCCGTGGGGAAAACCCACGGAGGGACAAGGAACAGCCACATGCAAAGCTTCCTCCCTGCCGTTCCATCAGGGATGTGGCTGGGTTGCCCAGCCCCATGCAGGTGTTTCAACCCCCCCCCCCACCTGAGATCTGCAGGTGGGAACCTCCCCAGTGCCCGGCGCTGCTCCTCCTCCTCCCCACAGGCAGTTGCTCCAGCACCCCACCCAGTGGAGATACTCGCTGCGTAGAAGGGGAAATGCTGCTGATTCAATCCACTCAGACTGGAGGGGAAGCTGCTCTCTGGTTCCATCCACCCTGAAAAGGGCCACACATGGGAGCTAGAGAGATGGGCCGTGGAGGAAAGTAGCAGCGCTCCCCGCCCCAGATGCAGGGCCTTTTCTGCCATCCCCTCAGCGCCGTGTGGCTGAGAGCAGCCTGCGGCCCAAAGCAAGAAGGAAAGACGTGTTCTTGATTCCAAGCTTCGTACTGGTGCTGGGGAGAAAACGACCAACATTGCAGACTCTTCTAAACTAGCGCTCAGCGGTGTCCTTCATAAAAACACCCTGATGATGGATGGATTTAGGATCTGTTGGCAATCCCTGTGTCAGCCCATCCATCTGTTCGTTTTGGGAAGGGTGAGCTGCGTGATGCTGCAGAACCATGTGATCTGAGCCGTGATTTAAAACACAATCAGCTAGAACAACTGTAATAGAATCTGGCCTGAGTGAAAAGCTTGCTGGGAAAGCACAGAACCTCTCAGCACAGCTGAGAGCAATATTCCCCTCCCACCATTAAAACAGAGACACACAGCATTTGACAACGTACATGCCTTCAGCAGGAAGAGCACGTGTTTAGCTTGGTAGAATTGGGTATGGAAAGAAAGAAGGCAAAAAGTTTGACTGGACAAATGGATTGAAAGCAGCAAGGCTGGAGGAAAAGATCCATCAATAGATATGTGAAATAACAGATTGCATTGGGGTGAACTTCACTCAGAGGGACAAATTCTCTGCTTCACTGAAGCCCCACACTTAATTTGCTCTTCAGCGGGGTCTCAATAAACAAACATGGAGTGGATGTCAGGAGCAGGCTTAGGACATGGTGGAAGGTAGGGGAGATGGATGGATTTGTAGAAAAGCATGTCGATGAATGGGTGGACAGAGGCATAACAACTGATAGTTGAAGGATAGAAGCAGGGTAGGCAAATGAAGGGTGGCTGAATGTAATAATGGATGGAAAAGAGGCTGGATGGGGAAGGATCAGGAAATGAGGGATGGGGAAGGCAGGATGGATGGGTGATGAGTGCAGAAACAGAGACATGGCCCAGGAGGCACGGAAAATCAGACAGCTGGATAATCCGTCAGTTAAATCGTCTGCAATGTTTCCCTGTAGGTACAGCTAGGTCACTAAAGGACAGGCCCGTGTCATCAGAGGGTCGACTGTCCCGGGTGGACCTGACCCATCTATCAACCTCAACACTTTTCCCTGAGGAGGGAAGAGAGGATTCTCCCACGCAGGAGAAAGAAACCCTAGAGCTTCAGCTGGACCTTTCCATGCGCCGGCGATCGGCTGAGCAGCCGGCTCCGTTACAGTGACTGCGATGGCAGGAAAGCAGCGCTCGCGGACGGAAGCCAGGCAATAAAGAGTGAGCAGAACAGAGAGGAGGCTGTGTACATGCGTCGCGGCGATAGGAACAGGGAGCTTTTTGTGCGGTGCCTGCGGCAAACAGGACCCAGGGCGGTTCCACGCAGCAGCACTGGTAGAAGGCGGAGGTGGGCAGCACGGTCAGTCGTGAAAACAATTCGTCCCTGGCCTTTGCAAATCCTCCCCTCGCTGCTGCTAGCTTTGCCTGAGTAGATTTTGCAAATACCAGATCTTCTGCATAAGCCAGTTTGACATCGGCTCATTTCAACCCCGGGGATCTTGCACTGTCCTTTGTCTCACAGAGCCCAACGCACCTCATGTGCGCAAAGGGGAGTCTTTGAAACCGGTGACTTGTTTGAGTGAAAAGCACCAGAGCAGAATGCAGCCCAAAGTTCTCCCCCATGTAGGGTGACCAGATGTCCAGATTTTATAGGGACAGTCCCGATTTTTGGGTCTTTTTCTTATATAGGCTTCTATTACTCCCATCCCCTGTCCCAGTTTTTCACACTTGCTGTCTGGTCACCCTACCCCCACGGCCCACCCATTGTCCTCCTCGGTGGAGAGCTGTGGCTCACTACGGGCCCTAAGTAGCTACTTGGAATGCTGCATGCTTTGAGCTGTAGTCTTCATAGGCTGCACCTTAGTACCGAAGAGGAGGGTAGGCTACAGTCTGCTCTATTCTGTGCACTTTGGCGGTGGCCCTTGGGAAGCCCCCTAGCAAACGACTAGTGCTGCCCTCATGTGAGCAAAGCCTGAGCTCCATGACAAGTAAGGACTGGTCCCTCTAGATGTCAAATCAGGGTTTGTGGGGCAGGCAGGGAGGGGATTGAGCACCAGAGTAGCTGCCTCCCCTCTCCCAACCCCTTCACACAGTGCTTGATCCAGCATGGGCTTCTTGCAGCTGTGCTCAGACTGGAGTTGGCAAGAGAGGCTTAATCAGAGCGATTGTTTCTAAGCCAGGGGCTACACACTTTTGGTGACTGTTGTCTTTCCTACAGCAGGGCAGTGCCCATGCTCCCGGAGTCATGAGAAAAGAATCTGTTGTTCTGTCGTTTCCTCATCCGGTGCACACACAGGCCTCTCTGATCAGAACTGCTCTTTCCTCTGTGCAGGTCTTTGCTTCCCTGAGCGCCTGGGCCTCAGATTGGGGATCAGGCAAAGGGCGCCGGCCCCAGCTAATATCATCTAAACTTCCCAGCCCTTTGTTTTCTTTTGTCGGTGAGGAGGAAGGGCTTTGAGAGGGAGGGAGGGAGGGAGGTGATAGTGCTGAGTGATTTGCGGAGGACAGGTGGCCTGTAGATAAGGCACAAGACTGAACGTCAAAGCCAGGTTCGATTCTTAGCTCTGCCACTGACTCACTGTGTGACCTTGGGTGGACTCCTCCGCTCCTGTATGCCTTCATTTCCACCGTCTGTAAAAGTCCCTGTTGTGAGGCCTTGCATAAAGCACCTTGAGATCCCTGGATCTGTGGAGCTGTACAAACGCAAGGGAATGCTATGAAGGGTTACAAATGATTCCAAAGCTGGGGAGACAGATGTCTAGAAAACCGACTGGAAAACCCCACCCTATAATCCTCCTGGCTTGCATCTAGGTTCTTGCACTATTGTCACCATTCCTTGATTCAGTCTCATGCACTTGTGCCTGCTGCATTTAACCTAGCTGCATGCTTTTCATTTTCATCCTCTCCATGGCTCTGGTGCCGGTTTGATCATCATTTGGAGCTAGCATTGAGAGAGAGTGAGAGAGAAAGAGAGGACTGTTGTTCTTGCCTTAGAGTGCTGGAGGTGCTTTGGACGGACCTAGCACAAGAAGACAAACCAAAGTCCAGAGTGCAGGCGGCAGGTAGCATTTCGTAGTCAAGGAAGGGCTGAGCAGTAAAGACGCTATGATGCAGCTTGATTTCAATTCTCTGCTCACTCACACCTTTGTGTGTCCACTGGGGTGAGGGACAGCAGGTTTCAGTAGGCTGTGTTGAGAGAACTAAGTGTCAATGTAACCAATACTAGACAGATCACATGGCACAATTATTGTGTAAGTCCTCCTAACTGGGTTAGTAATTACATAGGGTTTACTTGATTAATGCCCCGTAGCTACTTCCTTGCGTGCTCCCAACATTGTTTTGTCATTACACTTGGCCAGTGGCATCTGTGACTTGATGCAGGTATCAGAAATCATCACATGCTTGCTATGTAACGTGACCCATTGCCTGCCACCAACCTTGCAAATAACCAAGACGCTCTCCCAGTAAATACATGGCACAGGCTGTAATGCCACTTGCCCTGTTACTAAATGTCCATCCCCTGGCACTTGTCTTATAAACATCCCGCCACTACCTGTTCTGTCATAGTTGTTAACCTGTAAATATCCTGCCACTTCAGTGTTTGCCCCTGTGCTGAGGGTGGAGGAGGGACAGTTGGGGACCGTTGTCCCTGCATTCTGAAAGCTCCTGCCAGTGCACAACGAAAGCAACAGTGTTTCTGTGAGGGGAAAACTTGAATGAAGTTTATGGTATGGGCCGGCTCCGGCTCCCATTAGAGTCAATGGCAAAACTCCCGTTGACTTCGATGGGAACAAGGCTGGGTGCTGAATGATTTAATGTGAAGGACGTGACGGTGTGGAGCGGAGACCAGCTTAGAGAGGAGGGACCAGGAGAAGATTCATCCCTGTGCAGGGGGCCTGGACACAGCCTCTGCACCTCTTACAGCTGGGTCCCACGGGAGCTCTATTTTGAGGGTATCTGTGGGACTTAAGTGGTGCCTAGGCCCGGATCTCTCATGCCAAGTGGATGAAACTTGGGCAAGTTTTGGCCCCACATATGCAATATGTCCACTGCATGTGAACACCGGATGTGACATGCTTGTTGTAGGTCTCCAGTGTGCGACGGTACAGTGTAGACATGCTGTCTGTTCTGTGTGGTTGACCCAGAGCCATGCCAGGGTCGAATCTGTCCATAGTCTGCTGAGTTTTTGCCTTTCATTAATACCCCATGGTGGACATCTGCTATGCATGCTGGCAGCACATGGATGCTGCATGGCAGCTGGCTACAAGCATATGCCATGCACTGTAGGCAGGCTGCACATGTGTGCTGCACTCACATGCCATATACTGCAGGCTGGCCACACATGTGCTGCATGGTGGGTGACTATAAATGCTGCATGCTGCGCTTATATGCCATGGACTGCCCAAGGCCTGCTGGCAGCACCTGTGTGGCTGGCTCTACGCTGGGAACCTGTAGGCCTAGCTGCTGGTTTCCTGCAGTCACATGGAGACGACAGCATCCTGCACGGTCCTGAAGTTTAAAATTAAATTAACCTTAGAGAACGATACACCCCTCAGCCCCGTGTTCTCGGTGTATACCCCTCCCCCCAATGCCGAGGGCCAGTAGCAACGGGGTGTTCCACAGGGAATGTGGAGGAGGAATTCTTTATGCCTCCTCTGCTCCAGCCCCCTGGTGGATCTCTGGAGAGCAGGGGTCCACCATCACCAGGGCCAGCTCCAGGCACCAGCTAAGGAAGCAGCTGCTTGGGGCGGCCAGTACAAAGGGGCGGCACTCCATCCGCTATTGGGGCGGCACGTCCGGGTCTTCGGCGGGAATTCGTTGGCGGGTCCCTCAGTCCCTCTCGTCCTCTTTGAGCTGCCGCCGAAGAAGAAGAGAGGGAGTGAAGGACTCGCTGCCAAACTGCCGCTGAAGAGTGGAGCAGCGCGATTGAGCTGCCGCCGAAGTGCCGCCGATTGGCTTTTTTTTTTTCCCCCGTCGCTTGGGGTGGCAGAAAACCTAGAGCCGGCCCTGACCATCACTGTCCTCCCTTGGCCTGCTCCTGCCCCTGTCCCCAAGCCTCACTGTGCACGCTGTCTTCGCAAGCTTCCCAAACCCTGTCTCTCCCCTGCGCTCGCATTCAGAGGTTGCAGGACTGCACTAATACCGCTGTATCTGGGGCTCTCCATGCCTGCTGCGAAAGGGGCAGGATCTACTCCTGAGAGAATGCCAATGCTAGTTCCGTGAGTCCCAGCTCTGCCCAGCTGGTGCCATGGCTGCCTACTGCACGTTCTCACTGGCTGCGCACGCGGCGCCATCGCCGACGTGGGCGAGAGAGCCTGAGAGCAGAACCGCAGCACAGCTGTGATGGGCGTCGGGGATCCGAGAGCACCGTTTAGGCAAACACCTCACTGCATCCCAGGTGTGGGAAACAGCCTGCTGTGCAGCCACTCCCGACTGACCGTAGAGCCACTGAACATGGGCTCTGGCCTTTGGAAACCAGCAACTTTGGACATATAGAAGCAGGCTATTAAAATATTCCCCCCCGCCCCCGTCGTATGATTCCCCAGGACAAGGGAGAACCTTTTGAAACAGGCCAGTTTTAAGCAATGTTTACCTGACCCGCCTTTCCCGGGCTTGTCAAAGGAATGATCGTGACTTCTTAGTCATCATTAACCACGTCAGAAGCGGTGGATTTATTTACTTAAATAGCATCGTATGGGGCCTAACTAGTCATTGCCGTGAGCTGTGCCTGCTTAGGCCAATGGTAAACTGCTCCTCATATGTTTGTTCGAAACAACTTAGGATCGTTTTATTGTCCTTGGAGTGAAGGGGGAGGACGTGAACACTTCGGATGCGATGTGCTGCTCAAGTGGGTGTGTTCTAATTCACTCTGATCTGTACAGCTCCCCCGTCAATTCACTCATTCACACTTCACGCTGCGTCCCTGCCTCTAAGATGCAAATTTCTCATCTGAAAGAGAATGCAACATGTACAGGCTGCACCCACAGTTTCCACTATGCACTTCCTGTCTTGGCTGCTTCCAGTGATGGGATTAAGCGTCTTAGCCAGTGTGAGAGTGATCGCTTCGGGCTTGTCTACGCTACGGATGGTAGAGCGGCACAGCACCATAGTGTAGACACTTGCTTCGTCAACAGAAGGGTTTTTTCATCTGTAGTTTATCCACCCCCACCA